TGACGGTAGTGTACCGGCTAGCCTCGCATTCAATTGGGTCGCAAATTGGCCCATCTGTGTTTCCAAATTTCGAATGGATGCTTGGGTGGTCGTCATAAATTGGGCCAACATATTTGCGAGGTCTCCGCCTTGAGGTGGTGCTTGAGGCGGATTTTGGAATCCAGGCGCTGGTCGTGAATAATTAGGCGGTTGGCCTTGAGGATGTGCTTGCCTTTGTCCTTGCTGATTTCCTCCCGACCCAAAATTAGGGTGATCCTTCCATCCCGGATTATACGTGTTGGAGTACGGGTTCCTCTGTTGTCGGTTGGCGTCATGCACATAATTTAGCAACTCCGTTTCGTCTACGCCTTGATCTGGAGCTTGGACTGCATGGACTTGTTGAGTCTGCAAAGCCTCCACTTGCTTCGATAGCTTCTCCAATTTGGGCCGTGATTGCAGTGACCCTGTCTAACTCCAAAATTCCTCCCGTCTTGACTGCTCCGCTATTCGACCGGTCCGATGCCCGCATGTATTTGTTTCGAACGATTCGCTCTTAGAGTTCTTATGCTTCGTCGTAGGTCAAACTCATGAACATACCTCCAGCTGCAGAGTCGAGCACGGTTCTCGAGTTGTCTTGCAATCCATCGTAAAATATTTGCAGTTGGCGCCAGTCTTGCAGTCCGTGATTTGGGCACCTCCTTACTAACTGTTTGAACCGCTCCCACGTTTCGAATAATGCTTCACCGGCTTCTTGTATAAAATTTTGAATTTCTCTCCGGATTCTCTCAGTTTTTGTTGGGGAGTTGTATGTGTTCATGAAAAGTTGTGCTAGCTGGGCCCAAAACGGGATGGAGTGCGGTGCGCGAGTTTGTAACCATTCCCGGGCTGCTCCTTGTAAAAATTGCTTGAACAGGCGGAGTTGCAATGCTTCGGGTGATACTCCGTTCATCTTGTGCGAGTCACACGTTTTGAGAAAGTTGACCAAGTGAAGATGTGGACCTTCATGAGCCAATCCGCTGAATAACCCATTGTGTTGGAGCATAGTGAGGAGTCCCGCCTGAATATCAAAATTGTTGGCTTCAATGGGGGGCTGCTGGATGCTTGATTGAAACCCATTAAGTGTTGGAACAGTGTACTCATGCAGTGCTCGTTGTCGAGGTGGTGGATTAATTAGCTGGCGTTGCTCTTCCTCGATAACGACTTCCCCTGCCGCATTCGGTAGGCGCCATTGGTCATCTCTCCCACGATTAATCTCTTCTTCCATCGTTGCCGGAGCGTTTTGGGCTAACCGTTGATTTCTCCTGGCTTGCCTAAACGTTCGCTCAATTTCGGGATCAAGAGGTAGCAAGCTCTTGTCGTGTCCTCTTCGCATAAAAAATACCTAAAACAAAATAAAACAAAATAATTAAGTAAAATAAAATAAAACGGCTGAAGTAAGAAAAATTGCTCAAATTTAATATAAGGATAAATAAATAATTTAGCCGTAGTCCTCGGCAACGGCGCCAAAAACTTGTTGGGTGCTAAATACCAACACGCATGTGCACGTATCGCAAACAAGTAGTAAAGTGGACTCGTGAGAGTCGGATGTCGATCCCACAGGGAATACGCAAATTATTTAATCCTAAGTACCAAATTTTAACAATTACGATTTTTATCCAGCCTACGCAAGTTTTTGAAATTAATCAATTAAACAATTAAACTAATTAAGAAAGCAAATAATCACGAGAAAATATCAATATAAAACGGATCTAGGATTTTATCTCCCCCCTATGCGATAATTCTTCACCCAGTTAATCTTCTATCATGCAAGTTACGATTCCCGGTTATTAACCCGGGACACGAAATTACTCATAACGAGCTGTCGCGTGTATTACAAGTCTAATATTCATTCATAAACGATTTACTATATGTCTATGCAAACCTAGTATGAATAAAGCATTAAATAAAAGGTCTCGCAAACGGCTACCTACGGTATTATCTATATGTCTACGATAATACATGCAATTAACACACTCATCCGGTGAAAACTACTCGAAGGCTCTTCTATCCCAGTTCTAATTATTAAAACGATCTGTCAATCAATTCTAACAATAACTGTTGGGTGCTAAATACCAACACGCAAGTGTACGTATCGCAAACAAGTAGTAAAGTAGACTCGTGAGAGTCGGATGTCGATCCCACAGGGAATACGCAAATTATTTAATCCTAAGTACCAAATCCTAACAATTATGATTTTTATTCAGCCTACGCAGGGTTGTCAAATTAATTAACTAAATAAATTAAACTAATTAAGAAAGCAATAATTCACGAGAAAATATCAATATAAAACGGATCTAGGATTTTATCTTCCCCCTATGCGATAATTCTTCACCCAATTAATCTCCTATCATGCAAGTTACGATTCCCGATTATTAACCCAAGACACGAAATTACTCATAACCAGCTGTCGCTGCGTTATAAGCCTATTATTCATAAAAGATTCACTATATGTCTATGCAAACCTAGTACAAATAAAGCATTAAATAACAAGTCTCGTAAACGGCTACCTAAGGTATTATCTGTATGTCTACGATAATACATGCAATCAACACACGCATTCGGTGAAAAACTACTCGAAGGCTCTTCTATCCCTGTTCTAATTATTAAAACGATCTGTCAATCAATTCTAACAATAACACATAGCAACATAAATTAGCTACGTTCATGCGCTAAATAAGATCAAGATAGAAGAAATAATCGAAGAATTAAACTTGCATACAAGTCGAAAAAGAGGTTCGAATTACCACATAGGGTTCCAATAAAATCCTTGAATAAAAACTTAGCTACCCATGTTCGTAACGAAAAGCATAATAAAAATATGAAAATTCATAAAAGTCGAGAAATAAAAATAAAAGGAAAACTAGGATGAAGATTCGTCAGGTCTTCGTCTTCGTTCTTGTGCTCCTTGATTGCGTGTAGAAAGATGAAGAATAAAAACTAAGATAAACGATAAAAAGGTAAAAGATAATCCTAATTGTGTGCTTGTGGCCTTTAAATAGGGTGCAAAAATATAATAGGGCGGGTTTCCTTGTGAAATTAAACTTCCTTCACTGCGCCCCTACGTCAATCCGGACGGCCGTGTGAAATATAAGCTTAAAATCCGCACGGCCGCGCGGTCTTCAAATCTTCTGAATTCTGATTATTTCACTTTTGGCCCACTTTTTCTCCGAATTTGCAGTTTTCACCCCAAAAGTTGCCAATTCTTCAATTTGCACCTAAAATACAAATAATAACCCTATTAAGCACCAATTATCGTAAAAACACATCAAAAGCTCCAATTAAAAGGTACAATTAAGTGTATAAATATACACTTAACACACCCCCAAACTTGAACTTTTGCTTGTCCTCAAGTAAAATCAAATTAAGAGCACAAAACAAAACCATACATCTCATTACATAAATCGATTGGTCAACTTCGCGTTTTCAGAACTTGCAATTATGATGATAATTCCTAGGTATTCGCAAGCTTAACATTCAACGGTACTTAGTCACTCACCATTACCAAAAATCACAAATCATACAATTGCTTCAAGTATCCAATATTTGCAAGTTAAAGATAGAAAGAATTTATACTTACATGCATATATTTGACTCCAAATACTCACCAAATTATTTTACTCAACTAATATTGAACAATAAGCTATTGGGATCATTGGGGCTTTGTGGCTTTCAATTGTTAGGCTCTTTGGTCCGAGGTAGGTAATATGGGAATGTGTGGCTAATTTTCTTGAATTGAGGTGATTACGCCAAAAATTGAAAGATAGGCGTTTGAAACAATGAATTCACCTCTAGGGACTTTAATACACTCGATTCTCCAAAATTCACACGTCAACAATTTTGCCTTTGAGGCAATGACTCGAGTTTTCAACACAAATCAACAACTAGTCCTTATTTCTCCCTTCTAATCTATTCTTCTTTTTTTTTTTTTTTCTTTTTTTTTTTTTTTTTTTTAATCGAATCAAAGAACTTAGTATATATATATGAAGATGCACATATATATCTATTATTATTATTATTATTATTATTATTATTATTATTATTATTATTATTATTATTATTATTATTATTATTATTATTATTATTATTATTATTATTATTATTATTATTATTATTATTATTTATTTATTTTTTTTTTCGAAGAAGAAGAAAGATCTTATAAGAATTTTTCGATCGACCTCCAAGGGATGATTATTCAGAAATGTCCACTTTTCTACCTTCTACATATTGGCTAAAAGAAAGAACACCTTTTCTCCGAGGCTCAAATCAAGGTTCTAAGGATAATTTGACAAAAATGGTAGGCTTGAAAGGCTCAAACGGTTCAAAGGAGGCCCAAATCATATCCCAAATCACTTACTATCAACACTTCGTATCATAAATGTCCTAAGGTGAGATTTAAAACCGAACAAAGCATGATTGAGCACAAATAAATTCCAAATTTAAAATGCAAAACATTCAACCAAAGCACAGCACAAGGTGTGATTCCTAGCAATAATTCACTTCTACGTTCCGTTGAATCGAAAGCTAAACGAATACATACTCCTTATCAACATAAAACAAGTAATCTCATCATCAAACATTGACCATCTCCCATCATCATAGTTCATCGATGCCTCAAATTTTTATTTATTTTTTATTTTTTATATAATAAAAACAATAAAAACGGAAATAATAAAACGGCAACTAAAACAAAAACTAAAGCATGCAAAATAAAATAAAAAATAAAACACAAATAAAGCGCACATAAATGAAAACAAGTAGTTAACCACCCCCAAACTTAAAATTCACATTGCCCTCAATGTGATTCGCCCGGAGTTTAAGGATAGAAAACATCTGTTTTTAAGAGTCGGGACCATCGTCGGGTTGCTCACCAAGTGCACCTTGCGCATGAGCATCACCATCTTCTTCATCATCCGAAAGCTCGGGTACCGGCTCAAGAATCGGTGCGGGCAACGGAGCCGGTTCGGCGCACTCGGGATTGCCACATGCCAAATGGCGCACAATGGCTTGGAGCATCTTTCCCGACCACCGTTGGAGGGATTCGATCGTGCTCACCTTGTGCACCACCGTGGCAAGCCGATTTCTCGTGATCACCAACTCTCGCTCCATTCTTCTTTGAAATCGCCGGTCCGAACTTGTGCTTGGACCCTCGGGTGGAGCTATTGGTTGGTTCTCGACGGGTTGCTCGCCATCTTGGATGGGTGCCTTGTATTGTCGGGCCGCAAGGTTACTCATCGGCTTCCGAATTGATGTGAAAATGTCCGTCGTTTTGGTTGGGACCTTCGCCTTCTTGCATAGCCCGGTAACGAGGCAAGGGAAATAAAACCCCTTGGAGTTGTTGACCATGGAGGTCCAAAATCGGTCGGATATGATTACGCCAATGTTGATCGGTGTGCCCTTGAGGATGTAGTATGCAAGAGCGCACCGTTCGGGGTCCACGCGAGTCCACGAGCGGGTGGCAATGAGGTTGGCACATATGAACGTAAGGCACGCCTTGCCTACTTGGTTGATGCATTTCCACTCTAACTCGTACGACTCCTCGGTTGATAGTTCGGACCAACTGGGGGGTCCATCGCACAACACCTCGGCGATTTGATCTCGTGTGACCGCAAGTTGCAATTGCCCCCAATTGAATGGCGTCGTGTGTCGGAGGTGATAAAAAGAGTTGATTGCGTAGGCACACCAATCGACCTTCTTTCCTCGAACCGTGCTCGAGTTCCGATCCGTTGTGAGGAGGATACGGTTGTTGGCGTAGAACTCGCGGACCAATGATAGGTTGATCGAACCCTCCGGTTCCAATAATGCTTGCCAACCTCGTCGTAGGAAATCTTGGTGCAACGGTGCGAATTGTGGAAGGGTGATCTCATAGGCATGCTCCGTCACTAATTTCTTCATCTTCTGCTTTTCGAAACGAGCACTAGCGCCTTCGACACAAAAAGCGTCGTCGTCGGGGGTCGGAATTTGGTCGGTTTTCTTGCCCTTCCCCTTGCCTTTTGAAGTGCCCTCGCCTTGTGAAGTGCCCTCTCCGTCACGTCCTCGTTTCCCCATGACTTGAGAATGTGTGTAGAAGGGATTAGGAGTGGATTGATGTGCAAAATTTCCCCCAAACTTGACTTGGGCAATTCGTCGAACATCTTGTGGGCGTTCTTGGTGGAATGGATTTTTGGAGAAATTTGCACCTTTCTTAAATCCTCCCTGCACAAATCAACAAGAATTCACCAAGATAAGAAGTATGTGTGTGCAATTGGTGAATTTTCGGTGAATTTGGTTCAAGAAAATCGAAAATTTTGAAAAGAGGGGGTAGGGTTCGAAGTGGAGAGAAAGAGGGTTTGGAATTGTGAGGGTTGGGGTGTGGAATGCCCCTACTTAATCTGCCCGAATTTTTTTTTTATTCGCACGGCCGTGCGGGATTTTGTGAAGAAATCCGCACGGCCGCACCGTTTTGCGAAATTGGGCAGTAGCCCTTCTACATTTCGGACGGCCGTGCGAGATTTTAGCCTAAAATCCGCACGGCCGTGCGAATAGCCGGTTTTGGGCAGTAGCATTGTCCGCTTCTCGGACGGCCGTGCGAGATTCCAGGTCTTTTTTCGCGCGGCCGTGTGACGAGTTGCAAGAATTGCATTTAAGGCCCTGAAAAATAAAAACTTCTTATTAGTGCCCCTGAAACTTTTTTTTTTTTTTTTTTTTTTTTTTTATAAAATAAAATAAAAGCAAAACTAAAAATTTAAAATAAATAAAAAAAAAAACGAAAGCTCGGGTTGCCTCCCGAGAAGCGCTAAGTTTACAGTCTTCAGCCGGACTTTGTCTGCTTCTTTGTTCAAGCTAACGTGACCGAAGTCACTTGGCGATTGAATTCCTCTCCCCAATAATGCTCGTTTGGTTCTTTAGGTGGCCACATCCACCTTGCACGTTCTTCATTATTATCCCCCCGACTCTTTTGACTGTTTCTCGGCGGAGTTGAAATTGAGCTCGCACAATAAACTTGCTCCGTCCGACTATCTTTTCCGCCACCATCTCCTGCACTCAAAGATCCTTTCCCACGGTCTAAGATCAAAGCTTCAAAATCGTCATGATTTGTAAAATCCACAAGATCTATAGCATAACAATCATTATCATCACTTGGATTTTTATTAGTGCTAAAAACGTTAAATTTGACCGTTTGATCATGCACCGTCATTGAAAGATCACCACTAGCACAATCAATTAGAGTTTTTGACGTGGCTAAAAATGGTCTCCCTAAAATAAGAGGTATCTCCCTATCTTCATCTATGTCAAGTATAACGAAATCAACAGGGAAGATAAATTTGTTCACTTTTACTAGCACATTCTCTAAAATACCTTTTGGGTAAACTAAAGATCTATCGGCTAATTGAAGAGTTATAGCCGTAGGTTCAATTTCCCCTAACCCAAGATTTTGATAAGTCGAATAAGGCATAAGGTTAATGCTAGCACCTAAATCAATGAGCGACCTAAAATTTTTACCTCCTATAGTACAAGGGATAGTGAACTTACCTGGATCGCCGAGTTTTTATGGCAGGGGCCGTGTAAGGATTGCACTACATTGTTCCGTGAGTTGGATCATCTCGTTCCCTTGCAATTTCTTCCTCTTTGTCACGAGATCCTTGAGGAACTTCACCCACTTCGGCATCTTTTGAAGAGCTTCAATAAACGGGATATTTATTTGGATTTCCTTCAGCTTGTCCAAAAATCTTTGATACTCGGTATCGAGCTTCTTCTTCATAAGCTTCTGAGGATATGGAATTGGAGGGGCTCGTGATTTCACTGGACATGATAGTGGTTCTTCGTGAGTCGCTTCTTTTTCCCCAATCACGCTCGGCTTCTCGATCACCGTGTTTTGCTTCTCTTTTCGTGGGGCTTCCTCCAATTGTCTCCCATTCCTTAAACTCACAGCGTTGCACTGCTCGACATTGTTCTTCCGAGGATCTTCCGTATTCGACGGCAGTGCTCCCGATGGTCTCTCGGTCAGCTGGGTTGCAAGTTGACCCATTTGTGTTTCCAAATTTCGGATGGAGGCTTGGGTGGTTGTCATGAATTGCGCCAAAATATTTGCGAGATCTACACCTTGAGGTTGAGCTTGAGGCGGATTTTGGAATCCGGGAGCTGGTCGTGAATGATTTGGCGGTTGACCTTGAGGTGTTGCTTGCCTTTGTCCTTGCTGATTTCCTCCCCACCCAAAGTTAGGGTGATCCTTCCATCCGGGATTGTAAGTGTTGGAGTACGGGTTCCTCTGTTGTCGGTTGGTGTCATGCACATAATTCAGAGACTCCGTTTCTTCTACGCGCTGGTCGGGAACTTGGACTGCGTGGACTTGCTGAGTCTGCAAGGCTGCTACTTGCTTCGATAGCTTCTCCAATTGGGCCGTGATTGCGGTGACTCCATCTAACTCCAAAATTCCGCCCGTCTTGACTGCTCCGCTATTCGACCGGTCCGATGCTCGCATGTATTTATTTCTAGCGATTCGTTCCAAGAGCTCGTATGCTTCGTCATAGGTCAAACTCATGAACATACCTCCAGCTGCAGAGTCGAGTATTGTCCTCGAGTTGTGTTGCAGTCCATCGTAAAATATTTGCAGTTGGCGCCACTCTTGTAGTCCGTGATTCGGGCACCTCCTCACTAACTGTTTGAACTGCTCCCACGTCTCGAATAATGCTTCACCGGCTTCTTGTATGAAGTTTTGAATTTCTCGCCGGATTCTCTCAGTTTTTGTTGGGGAGTTGTATGTGTTCATAAAGAGTTGCGCTAGCTGGGCCCACGACGAGATGGAGTGCGGTGCACGAGTTTGCAACCATTCTCGGGCTGCTCCTTGTAGGGAATGCTTGAACAGGCGGAGTTGCAGTGCTTCGGGCGTTACTCCGTTCAGCTTATGCGAGTCACAAGTTTCGAGAAAGTTGACCAAGTGAAGATGTGGATCTTCATGAGCCAATCCGCTGAAAAGACCATTGTTTTGGAGCATCGTGAGGAGTCCCGCTCGAATCTCGAAATTGTTGGCTTCAATGGGGGGCTGCTGGATGCTTGATTGGAACCCATTGAGTGTCGGGACGGTGTACTCATGCAGTGCTCGTTGACGCGGTGGTGGATTGATTAGCTGGCGCTGCTCTTGCTCGATAACGATTTCCCCTGCCGCATTCAGTAGGCGCCCTTGGTCACCTCCCCCACGATTATTCTCGTCTTCCATCGTTGCCGGAGTGTTTTGGGCTAACCGTTGATTTCTCCTGGCTTGCTTAAACGTTCGCTCAATTTCGGGATCAAGAGGTAGCAACCTCTTGTCGTGTCCTCTTCGCATAAAAAGTACCTAAAACAAAATAAAAAAATTAATAAAATAAAATAAAAAAAAAAAAATTGGCTGAAGTAAGAAAAATTGCTCAAATTTAATATTAGGATAAATAAATAATTTATCCGTATTCCCCGACAACGGCGCCAAAAACTTGTTGGGTGCTAAATACCAACACGCAAGTGTACGTATCGCAAACAAGTAGTAAAGTAGACTCGTGAGAGTGGGATGTCGATCCCACAGGGAATACGCAAATTATTTAATCCTAAGTACCAAATCCTAACAATTATGATTTTTATTCAGCCTACGCAGGGTTGTCAAATTAATTAACTAAATAAATTAAACTAATTAAGAAAGCCAATAATTCACGAGAAAATATCAATATAAAACGGATCTAGGATTTTATCTTCCCCCTATGCGATAATTCTTCACCCAATTAATCTCCTATAATGCAAGTTACGATTCCCGATTATTAACCCAAGACACGAAATTACTCATAACCAGCTGTCGCTGCGTTATAAGCCTATTATTCATAAAAGATTCACTATATGTCTATGCAAACCTAGTACAAATAAAGCATTAAATAACAAGTCTCGTAAACGGCTACCTAAGGTATTATCTGTATGTCTACGATAATACATGCAATCAACACACGCATTCGGTGAAAAACTACTCGAAGGCTCTTCTATCCCTGTTCTAATTATTAAAACGATCTGTCAAACAATTCTAACAATAACACATAGCAACATAAATTAGCTACGTTCATGCGCTAAATAAGATCAAGATAGAAGAAATAATCGAAGAATTAAACTTGCATAAAAGTCGAAAAAGAGGTTCGAATTACCACATAGGGTTCCAATAAAATCCTAGAATAAAAACTTAGCTACTCATGTTCGTAACAAAAAGCATAATAAAAATATGAAAATTCATAAAAGTCGAGAAATAAAAATAAAAGGAAAACTAGGATGAAGATTCGTCAGGTCTTGTCTTCGTTCTTGTGCTCCTTGATTGCGTGTAGAAAGATGAAGAATACAAACTAAGATAAACGATAAAAAGGTAAAAGATAATCCTAATTGTGTGCTTGTGGCCTTTAAATAGGGTGCAAAAATATAATAGGGCGGGTTTCCTTGTGAAATTAAACTTCCTTCACTGCGCCCCTACGTCAATCCGGACGGCCGTGTGAAATATGAGCTTAAAATCCGCACGGCCGCGCGGTCTTCAAATCTTCTGAATTCTGATTATTTCACTTTTGGCCCACTTTTTCTCCGAATTTGCAGTTTTCACCCCAAAAGTTGCCAATTCTTCAATTTGCACCTAAAATACAAATAATAACCCTATTAAGCACCAATTATCGTAAAAACACATCAAAAGCTCCAATTAAAAGGTACAATTAAGTGTATAAATATACACTTAACAATAACTAATAGCAACATAAATTAGCTACGTTCATGCGCTAAATAAGATCAAAATAGAAGAAATAATCGAAGAATTGAACTTGCATAAAAGTAAAAAAAGAGGTTCGAATTACCACATATGGTTCCAACAAAATCCTATAATAAAAACTTAGCTACTCATGTTCTCTACGAAAAACATAATAAAAATACGAAAAAACATAAAAGCTGTGAATAAAAATAAAAGAGGAGAACTATGATGAAGATTCGTCAAGTCTTCGTCTTCCTTCTTGTGCTCCTTGATTGCGTGCAAAAAGATTAAAAGATAAAAGATCCATAATTGTGTGCTTTTTGGCCTTTAAATA